CTCTCTCCACCCAAATGCCTAAACAGACCACCAGTACTGTCAGTAGTGGACAGTCATTGCGCTGATGAAGGACAGAGATAATTACTGTCCGAAACAAATGATTGCAATTTTTGTCCGCAAATAATACCGAAGACAATAATCGGTCAAATTGTGTCGCAAATTGTGAGTTGAAAAGTAAATATTTTTATTAAACAAATATTGCCAAAAAATACAATTCATAAATAATACTGCAATCCAATGGCTATCCACTAAATACATTAACATTCAGCTCCACCGCCACCACCACCGCCGCCGCTGCCGCCATAATCTCCACCCTTACCGCCAGCTCCACCAACACATACCACAGCCCCAGTAGGTGATGGCCCGGAGTGGGTGGTTGTCTTTTGGGTAGTAGTAGTAGCCGGGGCTCCGATGATCAAATGATTATCTATTTTAAGCACCGTAAATACAATACATGCAAATAATATCATGAATTTTCTCATTATTATTGTGATTTATGTGCAATTTTAAATTGTTTAAAACACAAGTCTATTTAAGTAGGGCTATTTATATAAAATACCTGTCCCTTGAGATGATTTCGCACAATGCTGGTCAGATTTATAATTTGTTTTAAAATGTGCTTGATAATTATACGCCAGTAGTTTTGTAATGAACTATGTACCAATATGGTGACTCTTTAAATCATTATATTTTAATAACAAGAGAGAGAGAGAGAGAGAGAGAGATAAAGAGAGAGAGAGAGAGAGAGAGAGAGAGAGAGAGAGAGAGCACTGGGGTATGCGATGACATTTGCTTCTCCTATTAAGTCAGATCTAAATTTAAATTTTTTTAGAGAAATCCAGATCCCTGTGCGCCCACACGTAATCATATATACACTATTCGGACGATTTGTCTAAAATTTCTTAGGTTTGTGTGCAATAAATGCTATCATTTTTCTCGACTCCCAGAAAAAATCGTCAAAATATCTTAAGTATTATATAAGTTAATGACTTTTCTGTGAAAAACAAAATTTTTTACAATAAATATTTGGTTTAGGTTTTTAAATCCATGTCTCCAGACAGAGATTAATAGTTATAAATATAACTTATATCAAAAGCAATATTATATGAGTGAGTGAGTTAGGGAGAGAGAGTGAGTGAGTGAGAGAGAGAGAGAGAGAGAGAGAGAGAGAGAAGGGAGAGAGAGAGAAAAGATTAAATCAGAAATGGTATGAATTCTTGACTATAAGTGAGGTTCAAAGCAAATTCATTGCGTTAATATAAGCCTTGAATTATAGTTTTATAATAAGTTTAGTTGTTTGAGTCACAAGAATCTAACAATAGATTATATTATAGTCTTTTGTGTTTTATAGGGTTTTGTGTTTTGAGATCTATTTTTATTATTACAGAATTCATGCCAAAAGATTTCTCCATTCAATCATTGCATTCAAATAATTTGGTGTTAACTCAAGCTTTTGTTAATGTATTTTATTCTGATTTTTGAAATAATTATTTTTAAATTCAAATTTTAACATTCAGTTTGAAAATTAAGTCTGTAGAGTTTTAACATATACTACTAATCAACACATTTAAACAAAAATACAAAAACATTGTTTTCTGCTTTAATTGTATTTGAAAAATATATCATTAATTTTCAAAGTGTTAACTCTTTGAACACAAATATATACAATAATTTCAATACTATTTATAGCTGACTAACAAAACTTGTATTATAATTGAAATGATTTTATGAGAAATATTTGCAATTCCAGCGAAAGATTATACGAGTATTTACACCGAATATCGGATAACCATTTCCATTGTAATTCAATTTATAATTTTTACAAAATTTAAAGTTAAAAATAACTATTTATTCCAATGAATAAAGGTTTGAATTTATAAGTAATTTATAATTATTATAATTAAACAATAACTAAAAGTGTTTAATTTAAGTTTAACGAATAACGGCTTTTAAAACAATAAATAAGTGTGAAGTCTATTTTAAGACATTATCTTAATTGACATTTCATTATCAACTGAAGTAGTCTTCCCAATGTGCCGGTGCAGCAAATGTGTGGGGAAATCGGTATTCAGGTTAAGGTTAGGTTAGACCAGTAAAAGTTGGCGCTTGTATTGAGACAATTATTTCGCTCAACAAATACCAGTGCAGAAAGAGTTGGCATTCAATCGGCGCTCAATACTAGTGTTTATTAAATATTTGCTCACAATTTCAATACAAACTCTATTTCTATTGTCTAATGGTTTCATTGTTTGAGAGGGGATTACATCTCAACAAAACTTTCACTCTCTTTGTCACTTACACTGAAGACTCGCATTTAGACTCAATTGTCATTTTAGACGACTTTAGGCATAATTTGTTTGAATATTTTTAGCACACATTTCAAAATCATTGCCAATGAAAGAAACTATTATTTTTTATAAACAATTTCTTGATTATATTGGTAAAGCTTATGAAACAAATTAATATTTATATTACAATTTTAATATAAAGATTATTAAACAAAACTTAGTTCAAGAATATTATTGTCAGACATAAATCATTATTAATTTAAAAACTTTTAAATTTTTGTGACTACTTTGTTGAGTGAATTTTTACATCACTTGTTATGAAAAGTTAAATCTTTGGTAAAATATACAGAAAAAGTCTTCTCTTACACTCGGTTTTGTCAAAATAAGTCTATTTATGTGACCCCTCATGTAATTTGTCACTTTAATAATTGTATATTTAGTTCTCATCACTCTTACAATTATTTATTGCATTTATATACAAGGTTACATAATTATTAACTGTATCATATTTAACTTTTGTTTTAATATTATACCTGAAATAAAATACTAAATATTAAACTCAAAATTATAAGTTTTATAGCAAATATACAGTATTACAAAAACACGTTAAAAGTAGTCTTGAAATTCAATCTTTAAATTGATTTCAAATAAAAACTGATAAATGAGATGATAAACCAAAATAATTATAAAATTTAATCTTTTACTAAAAATATTTTAATTAATGTGAAATAAAAATAAAAGCAAACACTTAAAATTTAAATAAGTACTGAAAATAAATGATTTGCAAAACTCTATTAATATTACAATTCATATGACATCCATATGTTTATGTGGTTTTAAATGCTTTCTAAATATTATTTTTAGTCTTAAAAATCGCAAAATCTTATTAAATCATAAGTTTTTAGACAAACAATAAACAGTAAAAATTTGTTTTTCAAATCCCATTTTCTATTAAGCCTTTGAGAGACTGAGGGCACCGGTAGACAAATTGGCGAACAGTTTCGTAATGATTCTCAAATATAATTTATCAAAATTTCATGCTATCATATCGTGTCATAAAACTTTTGTGTATAAATATTTTGATAATAATCTAATGAACCGCTATTTGTATTTAAAATATGGGTTTATAAATAGTTTTGTCGGTATTTCTCAGAAATAATTTTCATATAAGAATTCAATGAAATCCACTTTTCGTTTGTATTCATCCATTTCCCGATCATTGAGTTGTAGTGCCTTTAGTTGACAGTCCTATGCGTTCAGAGAAATACAATTAAAGTTTTCAATTTAATTATAAACAATAATATACCAAAACATCTCGCAATTTGTCAGTCCCTGAACTCCCGTAAAACTCTTTCACTTTTATTTGTCTAGACTTTTGACACTTTTGTATTAGCTATGGATTGAAATGAATTATACGATTGTATCATAATTTAAGTAATCATTTAATTGTATCGCAGAATCCGTTACTCACGGCTTCAACAGTCAAATCAAATCTGTGTTCATATATATTGCAAAATATCTCATCCAATGTTTTATTGTAATAATCAGTTAACTTTTGGCTATTGATCTCATTTGCATTGATTTTGTCCAAACAATCAGTTGATAACACATTAAAGCATTGAAAATATTGATCCACTTTTTGAGTTTCATTTCCTATTCCTGATTCATACGACTCATTACGCAATGATTTGTCGCATAACAGCTCTCTATTGTATTTGAATTGTTTGGATAATTCAAATCTATTCAAACTATAGTTTCCTTTTGAGAGTGCATGTCAATTTAATAATAAATGAGATTAAATGAGATTAATATTATGTAATTTGAAAGTTTTAAGAATTTTCTACAAAATCATTTGAATTGTTACCCAAAACTTCCCAATCAGTCGTTGCATTCAATGACACATTCAATGCGCTTTTGAAGCAATTCTTATGAAAGGAATTGAAAATGAATTGTAAATTATATAATATTTACCTAAATCTTGAATCTAATTTTAAATTTTATGACTTCATACCAGCATTTTAAGGCTCTGCTCGATATCGATATCCATTTCCTCATCATTGCTCCCCATCTGTCCATCACTTTTCCGATTCACGCATTCATAATAGGGTTCCTTTGAGTAGCAATTAAAGTAAACCATAAAAAACAACAAAATCTTACAAAACATAAGAAATACAAAACATTTTTATCTAAATTCCAGTGACATCTCGTTTGCCAAAGAATCTCATTTTGCGTATAGTTTTCATAATATATTTGTTGACATATTGTGTAAATATAAGTGTTAGTATTGTTTGACAACTGGTTATTGAAAAAGATACAACATATTTTAGTATCCATTTTCTAAATTTAACAACTTTCTTAATTTTGACATTAATTCATACTTTCATTTTTGGCTCCATTTGAGAGCATTTGTCAAACAAATGCATAGTATTTTGATTGTAATTAAGTTTGCCATCGACTGTGGACTCGTCACAAATCCTATGATTAATAGATTTATATAATTTATAATATTCTGTACGCTTTTGAGGCTTTAAATCCAATTCACAGACAAATAAATTAAATAATTGTAACGATAAGAAAAATAGCAGTAATTTTTCTATCCATACCATTATTACTTGACTTTCAGGTTTTTTGATGAGATTGTACTAAACATTAAATAACAAATTTTTGTTTATTCAGGTGTTAGATAGAAATCAATCACCATTAATTATTTATTCTTACAAAACATTTTTATCTAAATTCCAGTGACATCTCGTTTGCCAAAGAATCTCATTTTGCGTATAGTTTTCATAATATATTTGTTGACATATTGTGTAAATATAAGTGTTAGTATTGTTTGACAACTAGTTATTGAAAAAGATACAACATATTTGAGTATCCATTTTCTAAATTGAAAAACTTTCTTAATTTTCACATTAATTCATACTTTCATTTTTGGCTCCATTTGAGAGCATTTGTCAAACAAATGCAGAGTATTTTGATTGTAATTAAGTTTGCCATCGACTGTGGACTCGTCACAAATCCTATGATTAATAGATTTATATAATTTATAATATTCTGTACGCTTTTGAGGCTTTAAATCCAATTCACAAAGAAATAAATTAAATAATTGTAACGATAAGAAAAATAGCAGTAATTTAAGGGTTTTATTCTAAAAAGATAGGTATGGTAATAATGAACTGAAAGTCCAAAAAACTACTCTAACATGATTTGTAATTTATTGTTTAAAAACAAATAAGTCCACAATCTATCTTTAGTTAGTGGTAATTAATAAATAAGATATAAATCCTATGTTTGCTTAAACTGAATTTTATATTGAAATTTAATAAATGAAATAACAATTTAATTAAATTACAATATATGTGTTATATAAATATATGTTAATTTATTTGTAGCATAGTAATTAGTTATCCATCGATTCTTATTCTTAATATTTAATTGGATTTTATTTCATTTTTATTTTATAAATATTTTTAAATGACTATTTTTAATTGCCGATTTATTAATTGATACCGAATTAATTATTTTAATATCAGGTTAAATTTAATCCTTTAATTAAGCAATATTAACGATAAATTTAAATATCATATAAAAAGTTTTATAAAGTGTTAGTCATTAGATTTAAAAATTCCTAACCACTACTATTAATGCTAATTAATTGGGTATACCCTAGTTAACAGGTTTAGAAATGTGTTACGATATATTCATCGATAAAGTGATTGATTAATAAAAACACAAATGAATGACCAAAATATTGATTCAAATAACTTCTCATGAATTTCCTTAATTACAACATAAAGAAAAAGGATATCCTCTATAAAAATTATACCAAAAGAGCCATAAAAACGGAATGCCTACCGACCAATAGTGAGCACTAGTAGCTGTAGTTTATTTCAAATACACTATTAACTTATTATTTAATTATTATTAAAAAATAACACAAAATTTGTAATTCACATGACATGAATTGGATTCACTGAATGGCTATTGGATGGGAAGGGGAGCTCATAGGACGGGTACATGCGATACAATTACATGAAACATAATTCTTGTCATATATTTATGATATAATATATAAATTTATATATTTTGCACACGAATTGCAAACTAAATTAAATGCCATAAAAAGCGCTGCATTTGCTTAAAAGTGTTTACAATTGGTTTTGAAATAGAAATTAAATAACTTTTAATTGTCAAGTAGTAAGTGACTGATCAGTGGAAAGGCATCAAAATGAAGGGTCAATTCGTGGATTTGGTTAATGAATGCAACGGCGACTGCAAGTGCGGGAAGAACTGCCAGTGCAAGGACTGCAAGTGCGGTAAATGACCATGGTTAATGGTAAGGGTTTATATAAATTGGCAATTTTCCATTTAAAATCATTATAATTCTTGTTATTTTATTATAACATT